TAAACAAATATATAAGAAAGCAAATGCAAATGGATAAACAGATGGACAGATAAGAGAGAGAGAGAGAGAGAGAGAGAGAGAGGAGAGAGAGAGGGAGAGGGAGAGGGAGAGGCGAGAGGGAGAGAGGAGAGAGGAGAGAGGGAGAGGCGAGAGAGAGAGAGAGAGAGAGAGAGAGAGATGAGAGAGAGAGAGAGAGAGAGAGAGAGAGAGAGAGAGAGAGAGAGAGAGAGAGAGAGAGAGAGAGAGAGAGAGAGAGAGAGAGACGAAAAACACCGATGAACCGATAGAGAGATAGCCAGATAAGGAGAGGGTGTAGCCCCCCCCCCCCCTCCCCTTCCGAAAGGAGCGAGGACCACTTCCGGTGCGGCAGACGAGTCTCGCTCAAGTAACAATGTAAACATCATCTTCCTCGGGCGGGCGAAGCGATGCCCTCCCGCCGCCGCCGTGCCCTTTGATGCGACGGCGAGGGGGGCGGGGTGTCAGCGGCACTTCCCCTCCCTCCTCTCTTTACTCCCGGCCCTCCCTCCTCCCCTTCACTTCTTTCGCTTTAGATTCCCTTCTTCTCTCCTCCCCTTTACAGTCCCTTCTTCCCTCCTCCTCTTTACACCCCTCCCTTCTTCCTTCTTCCCAGTTCTTCCCTTTTCCCAGTTCTTCTCTGTTTATCCCTCTTTCTCCTTCCCTTGTCCCCGCCTCTCATCCTTGTCTTCCCTCCACGTCTTTCGCCTCCCTTATCCTTCCCCTCTCTCTCTTTCCCCACTTTCCTTACCCCCAACTCTCTTCCCTCCCTCTACTCTCCTCTAGTCTTTTTTCCCACTCCATTATCCTCTTTCTTTTTCTCTCTCCTCCTATTTATCATCACCCTTCTCCACTGCTTTCCTCCCATCCCCTCTACCCTCCCCCTCCCTCTTACTCCCACCTCTCTACTCTATCCTTCCTTTCTTCTCTCCATCTTCTCCTTCCTCTTTCCTTTAACCCCTTCCTCTTTCCTCTCTCTCTCCCCCTCACTCCCCTTCACCCGGTCTCCCTTACTCTCTTCCTTTTACTTCCCCTATCCTTTCTACCTTTTTAACCATACCCTTAGCTCAACTCCTCTCCCTTCGCCTCCCCACGCGTCCCCCTCTCCTGTGCCACCCGCCCCTCTCCCTCTCCCTCTCATTTGCCACCCCGCCAGTCCTTCCTCACTCTCCCTTCACCACCCTTCCCTTCCCTCCTCTCCCTCGCCACCCTTCCCCTTCCCTCCCTTTCTCCCTCTCCCTCACCCCCCTTCCCATCCCCCCCTTCTCCTCTTCCCTCCCTCTCTTCCTCGCCACCCTTCCCATCTCCCCCCCTATTTCCTCCCTCTTCCCTCGCCACCCTTCCCATCCCCCCCTTCCTCCCACCCTTCCCATCCCCCCCTCCCCCTCGCCACCCTTCCCACCCTTCCCCCCCCTCCCTCTCCCTCCCACCCTTCCCATCGCCACCCTTCCCACCCCCCCCTCCCTCGCCACCCTTCCCACCCTTCCCACCCCCTCTCCCTCGTCGCCGCCCCCCGACAATAGTACTTGAGAAGAGAGTTTATGACACCAGGCGTTCGGGAATCAATCAGCTGTTCTTCTGTGAGCGCCTTATCCTCGTGACCCCTGGCTGGTGGGATTAACCCCTGGGCGATGTAGCCACGTAGCCCCACGCTTTTCTATTTGGATAACATTTAGAGCGATAAAGTGACCCCCTGGGGATGAGCAACGCCTCTTAAGCTCTACCCGGACTCTCGGGAGCTGTGGCGAGGGGAGGGGAGGGGGCGGACGAGGGAGGGAGTGAGGGGAGAGGGAGAGAGGAAGGAGGGAGGAGGAGGGGGAGTCCTGCCTGAGTGTCCTCTGATAACTAGTTGCCTCCTTCGATAGCACTTCGCGTCGTTCGGTGGGAGGTTGCCTCTTTTGGGGCGGCTGACTGCGTCTTCTGAGGGTACGGTGGGGCACGGTGCAGCCTGCGGTGACGGGGTACGGCTTTTTGGTATCAACCCCGTGTCAGCTGATAACGCACTGCTCAAAAAAGTAAAAAAGAAAAACAAGAAGAGAGAGAGAAAAAAAAGAAAAGGAGAAAAAAAGCGACTCAGGACAGGTCAAAAGTCCAGCTGATAACATCATAACAGCGATGACAGACAGTGACGCACCATGGAGCATTTACATCTGACATTTAAATCCAGCGATAATTCTCATTGAAGGACAGATTATGCGTTTCGTCTCGGGTTGGGTCTAGTCACCGCTCGGGCATGGCAGGTCAGTCGTAAGGTGATACCCTCCTCATGCCCCTGCTTGTGTGCGGGCGACATTTACTGGCTCGTTGATTCGCAATTAAATGAATTACTGATTAGAGATGGGTAAGAAACGTGATTTTTTCCCCAGCTTACGAAAATAAAAGTTCGAATAAGAGCTCTGAGGTCGCGCGGGGTCGTGGCTTCTGAAGCTTCGACTCGCGGTTCGTATCGTCTTCCCAAGGCCGAACAAACCCTTCGCAACAAGGT